CAGTCAGTTTTCGCTTTGGGGGGGGGGGGGGAGGGGGGCCTTTCAGCAAGAGCACAGATACTCCCCTGCAAACACAGGGACATGTAGCTTGACAGAGGCATGCTGGCAGATGTGGCTCCTGAAACTACTTTTAACTGACTTCCAAGTTGAAAAGACCTTTCTTAAATGTGTCTGGCGGTTGACCACTCTGCCGCATCCCTTTGGTGACTGTGATTTGTGCTTAGAGGAGACGGCAGTATAATCCCCTGGCTTTAGCACAGGAGTGGGTCAGGTGTCTGTAACCATGGCTCAGCCTCCTAATTAGCCATGTGGGTCTGAATGAGTTTCTTCACTTTTGTGTTTGACCTTCGCAGACAGAACAAGAGTTGCGCTTCACCAGCCTGCGTGGAGGATTAACATTATGAAGCGCTAGCACGTATCCACATGTCCATGCCCATGTCCTCTCAACACCCATCTTACTGTGAGAGTTCCCTTGATTTCTACCAATTCTCATCCTGTCCCTGCTCACTCAGAGTGACAGAAAACACGGTAACAGTTCTGGCCTGAGCTAAGCATCTCCTTGCCTCCCCTTTACATTGGTACCGTTTGCCTGGACACTTCTTCGTTATGGGTTTTACAGTTCTGTATGTTCAACATCTTGATATTTCCTTCTAGCTTATTTTTGTTGCTCTTACACACCATCCAAAAATGTACAGAATGTTTTTCAGGGCAGGTGGAAGGCAGGTCTTTTGTGCAGAAGACACTGTAATCTGGATACCGCGCAGAAGTTGGAAGCAATGCGCAGGGCAAGGGCCCTGCAGTGGCTGTGCAGTTAATCGGTTTGGGTGGCACATCTCCCATGCTTCCCCAGGTGTTCAGGATCAACCTCGAGGTGCCCAGGCCTGGGTGCAGCACTCCAGCTGGACTCGCTTCAGAGCTGTGTATGGAAGGATTCTTGCCTCCCTGCTTTGTGACACGGCTTTTGCATGCATCCCGACACTATATTGGGATTTTTCGCTACAGCGCCAGTTGTCAAACTCCTGTCTGATTGGCAGGGAAGAAGGAGGGGCAGCGACCCCTGTGTCATTTTTTGGGTTGAGACTGCTCTGGGGGGCACACTGGTGGCCTTCACCCTGCCCATAACAGTTTGCTCACCTCTCTGGAAACAGATCTGCGCTGTTGGTAATTTGGTGTCTCCATCTATGATTCCTTAGTCTCTTAGCGTTCCTTCATCTCAGGTTTCTCTCTCCTGAGCAGAATGTATATTGTGGGGGGAAATAATGTGGAAGTAGTAGATGCCTTTTTCCAAGTTGTCTCTGTTATTTTCACGCATTCAATCTTGAGATCAGTGGTTCTCAACCTTTTTAGACTGAAGGCACCTGTTCATAGGCTTGAGGTACCCTTGGAAAATGCCAACTCTTATTTTTCACTGTTTGTATTTGTTTAATACAGAAAAATAATAGAGCAGTTCTCTTTTTGCAAAGAACTCAGAACGGCCACAACAGGTCAGGACACTATGGATTCCTGTTTGAAACCTCTGGGTTATCTTGTCAATCATGTTTGCACACCTACTCTCTGCAGTGCCCCCGAAAGGGTCTCAAGGAGCCCCAAGATGCTACAGCACCCTGCCCTAGATTCCTCTGTATTATAAAGTATTAGTTACTTTTCATCTTAAGGGTGTAAGCAGCCCCTTCTCCCCCCCAGTTATTCACAGATTATAAATCTGGAAGGAGCCATTGTGCTCATCTAGTTTAATCTGCTGCACAACATCAACCATAGGGTCTGCTCAGAATAATTCCTGTGTAGACTAGAGCAGAGGTGTAAAACAAAACCAAAAAAAATCCGATCTTGCTTTAAAAGTTTCCATTGATGAAGAGTCCATTGCAACCCCGTCCAATTTATACCTGACTTCTTCTAGTCTGAGTGTGTGAGCAAACTGGCTCATTACATAGAGTGAAAACAGCTGTAAATCAGCTGATCTATCATAACTGTCTCTACATCCACTCCATCCCGTGCTCTAGCTTCTATTTACCGTGGGGTAGAGCAGGCCTGCAAAATATTGACTGTTGCATGGCTACTCCTCCACCCCAAACCTGGTATCATCTGTTCATCTTTCCACCCCAAGAATGGGTGCAGTTTCAACATCCTGCCATTGAAGCCACTGGACATTGTAATGTCTTTGTCTAGTAGACTGAAAAGCCCGAGCAATATCTGTTCCACGTTAAGCTAATTTTGTAACCTGTTTTATTAAGCTAAACTGAATGAGCTCCTTCAGTCTCTCCAATTCTTGAATTATCATCATGGCTCTTCTGTGAGTCCTTCCCCAGATATTAACAGCCTCAAGGTGCGGATGCAGCGTTACAGTAGTGGTTGTACCAGTGCACAGTACAGAGGTAAAGCCCCCGTTCTCCTAGTCATTAATCTCTGTTCGTGTCTCCAGTGGTTATGTGCTAGCCCAGTTGGCTGCACTGGAAGCACTAGGATCGGCTCCCTGTCCTCCATGACCCGTAGATCTTCAAAGTTGCTGCTTTCGATGGTAGTTCTTCAGATTGTAACCTAGATGTGGCTATATGTCACCATATTAAAAATGTATTGTTCGCTTGAGCTCAGGTTACTGAGCAGTCCAGAACTGTCTGTGTCAGTGATCTGTTGTCTTTATTATTTATCTGTCCCCCAGTTTTTGTGTTACCAGTAAATTGTCAGCAACGATTTTGTTTTCTTCCATATGTTTGATGAAAATGTTAACCAGCATGGAGCTGATAATTCTAGCAGCAATTCTAGGCATTACTAGATACCCATATGCTCTGATTCCCTCTGTATGGCTGCATTTTAAGACCTTGCCACTTTGCTAGTTTTTAATTCATTTAATATATACCATGTTCATTTTTTATCATTTTAGTTGCTTAATCAAAATGTAGTGTGATACCAAGTCAGATGCCTTGCAGAAGTCTGTCACATTAACATCTTTCTCTTTATAAACCAAACTGATAATCTCATTAAAAAAGATCTTAAGCAAGTTTGACAAAATCTATTTTCCATAAACCCACATTGTTTGGCTTTAATTACAAAGAACTAGAAGATACTATCATTCATTAGTTATCTGCATTAACTGTTTGCTCCCTTCATTTAGATTTTCAGAGATTACTTGGCCAGCAACTGACTCGTACAACACCCAGTGTTCCCTTCCTTCCCCACTTAAAATATATTCATTTATGGAACTCTTTTTGTTCGCAGGCCTTCAGTCAGTTTCAATCCAGTATGAATTCGGTTTCATGACACAGCATCAGGTGCTTTAAAAAAATCCAAATAAGGCTTTCCCTTCATCCTCTGGCTTTTACAGTACTATCAAAAATGTAATAGAATTTGTCTGTCAAGATTTATTTTTACAAATCACAATCTTACCCTCCCACGCTAGTAGCTGTTAATACTTTTTTTTTTCTGTTTTTCAGTCCTCTGCATACTACCTGATGTCCTCGCTGAAATGTACACACTGAGTTTTCATGTCCCCAGATTGGGGGGAGATTTTCTACATCTTAATAACTGCTCTAGAAGATGCTAAGGTTTGTGGTCGTTCGCATTATCTCTGTGAATGAATTCCAGAGTCTTAGGCCAGTGGTTGAGTGTGCTTTCCTACTTTGGGATTGATAGTTCTGTGTTCCCATCAGTTTCTAGTTCATATGCACAGTTACAGTCCTAGAGGTGAGGCAGTCCCTAGGACATAGGCCTCATCCACACACTCAGCTTGCACTGATTTAACTGAAAAGTATTCTTAATTGATCTAGTTGAATTGGTGGGAACCCAGGTGTGGATATATTTAAAAACAGCTTACATCTGGAGAAATCCATTTAGAATAATGGGGGTAACTGTGAAGGTTTCAGTCATTTTCCAAGTGAATCTAACTTGATGTAAGCTACTTGTAAATACGTGGCCCCCTGAACATGCACAAACTTAACTGAGCTGATTTATTAGGCTGACTTTGGCATGATCTCATGCTAGCTGTATTAGTTGACAAGCCTTGTTGCTTCAAGACATGCTGAGGACTAGAGGCTCTGGCTTGGCTGTGTGAGTTAGGAAATCATTATGTTGCTGAGGTGTTACGTTCCGAGCAGGCTGGTATTTTAAACCAGGTAGGGATGTCTTAAGGTTAACATTTTCACCTCTGTGCTCAGTGCCCTAATTAAGCTTGAGCGCTGTAACATGCATCACAGTGCCCATGTACAGCGGCACAGGGCAAAGGTTGGGGCCCAGCCTGCGCGGAGAAGGATTTCTCGTAGCCCAGTGGTTCTCAGCTGGGATGCCGCTGCACTAGGTAGAACTGGCCTGTGCACCGCCTCCTTTGTGAGGCACGTCAGAGCTGACCAGGCAGTGCGGCAGCAGAAGCCGCGTGCCTGCCTTCTTACTGGAAGGTGGCAGGTGGCGCGTTCTCCTGCAGCCACTGCTCAGGCTGGCTCCACTGAGCCTCCTGGAAACAGGCGCGCGAGACGTTTCCATCTGCCCCGCGCACCTCTGTTTCCTGGAGACGCCAGGCAGGATCAGCTTGCAAAGGGCTGCAGCAAGAGCATGCTGCTGCCACAGCTGCTTCCCTATTGCTGTGAATATCTGCCCCTCTGGTAGGCTGTGGTGCCAGCTGTCTACGGGTAGATTTGCTGGTCTGTGAATGAGATCTGATGACTTGGGGCAGGAAACGGTCTTTATGACCTGTACTGTACCCAGAGCAGGGGGGTCCTGGTCAGTTATTGGGGCTGATAGGCTCTACTGCTGTACATGAGTACTACCATGTCATGAGCAGTCCCTCTATACAAGTAGGACAGGCCTCCAGTAAATAGGGGACTCGGTGGTGAGTCCAGAGCCAGCCATGGAAACCAGTCCAGGATCCACACGTCCCACTGCAGACATGGCAAATAGTTCTGGGAAGGAGGAGTGGGTCCTGGTGTGGTCGAGTCACAGCTCTTTCCCTTCCTCGTGCTCATCTCTCTGCCTCAGTAGTGATGCTAGTTTGCTCAGTGATCACCAACTTGCTGCACACGAGGGGTTCTTGTAGAGATGCTTTGTTGGAAAACTTGAGTAGGGAAAGGCCAGTGTAGAGTCCAGCAACAGGAGTCCCTTTCTGTCCAACTTGCGTGTGACCTACTTAAAGCCCTACCTCTCTAGGTTGTGTCCTGGGACACTTCTGGTGCCAATTTCTTAAGCCTTGACTAGGATTTAAGTGTATTTTTAGCAGGTATTATTCTAACTAACACACCCTAGGCTTCAGCTTGGCTGGTTTAGCATGTATTAAAATCTGCGTTACCTTTATAGAACATTAGCTAACAGCATCTACCCCACTCATCTTTGAATCTGAGTCCAGATAAACCAGTACAGTCTTGGTTCAAAGGAGTGCTCTCTGCTGTTCGTGATTTCAACAGTGATGGGCATGCAGGGTACAGAGGATTTCAGCTCTAGGTGTGAGAGCGAGTGGTTGGCAGTAATGGGAAGTCAGGGGTCTCAGTACCATCATGACTGGCTTACAAAGCTGAGGTGTGCCATGCTAAAAGCAAGGTAAAGAGTTTAGATACCACATTCACAGAAACAACGAACTATTTGAGTTGGCCCCATATTAACCGGTTAGATTCTTTGTTGCCTCGTGGTTTTCACACGCACGGTGTGATGAATCCAGTAATCTTTGTGCTGTGCTCTGCTGTCCAGCAGATGCTTCTTGTAACGAGCAGTGCCAGGAGAAGTGGTTCCTTTGAGTCTGGGGGTCTGCAGACCGCTCAACGATATTTTGTTCTGTGCCAGTGTGCTTGATGGGGTGAGCACATCTCCGGGGTAACATTGTTCAGGGTAACTTTAAAGTTCAGCAAATGTGACTGTCCACGAGACCTGCACCTGGAAGTCCGCTAGTAGCATGTTCAGGGAGCAAAGGTTCTGAGCCCACGTCTGCCTTCCCCAGTACTTTTAGCAGCGGCTGATGCTTTTCAGGGGTAGTCCCAAGGAGAGTGCATCGTAGTAATACGTCCTGAGGTGACACAGCCAGACATGATGCTGTAAGAACTGTGTTCAGGAGAAGTAGCTGAGGCCACCTACTCCGAGGCAGCTGAGAGCAGAATTGCAAGTTGTTGCTGCTGCAGGATCCAGGATCTCCAGTGGACAGCGTGGTCCTGCAGAGAATGCCATTAGCAAATTGAGCAGATGCTCTGGCAATTAAGGTACACCCCTTGCATCTTCATTCTCTTCCGCTCTTTGTAGATTCTCATGCCACATGTCCATCGCTGTAGTAGCAGTGCCCTGAGCATCTGGACCAGGGTCTCCAAAGTGTGGCCCGTGGCCAAACATGGCAGCAAGCCCTTTTGATGTGGCCTGGTAGCTCTTTTTTGAACAGTTAAAGCAAAGTGTGGCCTCCAGGCCAAATGCAGTCCTCAGGTCCCTTTGATGCAGTACTGTCCCTTTGAAATGGTTTGTCAGGAGTGAAACTTTGGGACCCTCTGATTGAAACTCATCTGTCACCTGACTTCATCGGTTTACCTTGCTTCACTCTGGCCCAGATTAGGGTTAGGTCTTCAAGTCTGGAGAATATTATCACATGGGCTTAGCATGTAGAGGAGATGAATATCATCTGCTTTCTGGCAGTATTGCAGCCCATAAGATCTCATCATATACATATGGAAGAAGAAGGGTTACAGTACAGACTGTTCTGAGGCTTACTGCTCTGCTTTCTCGGCTGTCCCGTACTGGAGGGACTGGCTGCTGCACAGTGGTTTTGCTAATTCCAAATGGCCTTATATGCAAGCTTTATTGTCACGGTGATGTGGACAGTGGTGGATAAAACCAGCAGTTAGCACTGGCTTCTGTGGCAGGGGAAAGTGAGAGACGACAGTTCAGCCCATGTGTCATCCCTGCATCTGAATCTGTGCTGTGCAGTTGCCCCGGTGCCATTTCTCGGTAGCACAGAAGATTAATTATTCTCTTCTCTGCAGTCCATGTGAAGTGATGGAGAAAGCTTTCTGCAGGGTGCCCTCTGAGCAGGGGAGGGGCCTGCCCCTGTCTGAGGGAAATCAGAGATTGGCTGGAGCCCTGTGCAGATGAGGAAAGACGTGTTGGATTCAAAGGGTTGTCGATAGGATGAGATCAGACTGAGCAGAAGAGAAATCCATACCCCTGAACAGATCTTGTTCTGAGGGAGGAGCCAGGTCTCCCTTCAAGTGTGGTGCAGTTCTTCCGTTCTTTACGTTAACGGTTTGCCTGTCCTCTTTCCCTGCTCTGCAGACCACATGCAGCCCCCAAGACTGCCACTGCCCTCATATCTTCAGCTCCATGCGCTTTCTCCCTCAATTCCTGGCACCTCTTCTCCAGCCATCTCCACCTTGCGCCATTGCCTGCTCCTGCCCCTGGTACCTTCCTCTGGGGGGGGGGGGGG